CACAAGCTACCTCATGTACATGTATGAAGGCCTTAAACCAGATCAAAGTTCTGACCACAAGTTACCAGCAACAAAATTGCTCAGTGCATGATGGCCTTCAGAAAGCCTAATTTAGCTAGAAATTTGGTACTATACGTATTGACTAAATGCAATCTTGATGCATCATACATGATATACTGAATAATTTTCACTGTTACCACTTTAGTACAATAGTGAACAACAAGTAAACTTCAAAACACTATAGACTGAGAAACATTCAACAAAGGATAAACCTTTCCACCAACTACATGTACATGTATTTGTAACATACGGTATAAGTGTATTTTTGTCACAGGAAATGTAAACGTTTGCTCTAAATAGCTTTAATTTTTTTTGGATTTTTGTGCTGAGCAGCCATTGTGGCATTGGGGGAAAACTTTTTTTTTTGAAAATATTTGTTCCACCAGGAATGACAATGAAAAGAACAAAATTAAACTTGATGAAATCACGTAGCTATACATTTTACTGCTAAAATGGTAATATTTTCAAATCAGAGCAGTCAAAAATTTATTTATTCAATCATTACTAACAATAATAAATGCTCTCATAATAGCCATGAAGTTAAAGTATGTCTACATACATGTATGTATAAAAATATGTAATCCATAGGGACAAGAAAAATGCAAAAATTTCCAAAATATCACTTCAAACAATTTTGATTGCAAAATCCTAGTTCCATATTCAGTTATAATATCCATTATCATTGATAATTAACTCACACAAAATTCAAGATAAAGATGCACAACAAAATGTAATACTTAAATTCAAATTAGCCATAACCTTTAAAATTTTTGGAGTAAAATTTGCAAAACAGGGTTGTCAGATGCCTCTAAATGCAAATTCATCAGTATTATAATTACCTTAGAGTAACTTTTAATTGCGGGTACTAAATTTTGCGATTTTAGCACAAGGTAGATTTTGCTGGTATTAAAAATTGCGATTAAGTAATTATTACCAATAGTTATATGGCATCATGATGTCATTATTAATAATTGCGTGTAATAATAATTGCGATTTTTAACCCAAACGCAAAATTCGCAATTAATAGTACCCACATTTAAAAGTAACCTTAAGGTATACTATTGTTGCCTGTTATGCACAAACATAGTGGTTAATACCAAACTGAAATAATTTTTGACGTCAGCTGTTGTAAAAATTATACTTTGATGATGCATAGTATAATGCTACATGCTAGTGCAGGTACATAATGGAAAACAGCTGAATAATAATAAAAAACAATAAGAAAACTGTCCTATCACTAAAATGTAAAAAATATGGCTAGAACTTGATTGAAGAATTAGTGCAGTTTCCGGCAAATACTGTTCAGAGCTAAAATTAACTTTACATACAAAAAATGCAAAGTGAAAGGCAAGAATTGTTGTTTAATGTTAATTGTAATGACCTTTCAACCACATCATTGCAACACATGTCCAGAAATGTGCATAGCACGGATGGACATTTAGCAATAATTGTATTCATCATGCTTTAATTAACCGTTGCTATAGTAACAAGATGGCGGGTAGTTGTAAAGAAGTTGTATCTTATGATAATTTGTTTTTATTCAGAAGTACTGACTTCTAGAAAGTCAAAACAGCACTATTACAATAGAATATGTTGTTAACAGGGTTTGTTGTTCAAGAAAGCGTCTCGAGCAATGACTTTATGGTAGGAATCCAGTACCGCTCAGGAACAGCTCCATAACTGCACTTCTGGGATAGAATGAAGCATAAAACAACCTCATTTTATTCTAAATACTTATTTGTAACCTTCTAAGTGACTTTGTTACTTCTTTTGTCTTATTTAGATATAGCCGCAGTATTAACATGCAGAAAATTTCTGATATTCAGCCATAGATTCCTTACACTCATCGTCATTAAATCAGCTTGATTTTTATACCATATTAGACCTTACAACTTCTATTTGTTAGTCCTGAGTAGAGCTAGGGCCAGTTATAAAAAGAAATAAAATTATACTGCTGTAAAGTTGGAATAAAATAATACGGTACATGTAAATGAATGTAAAATGGCGGCATAAGTAGTCCTTCTTTTTGTTGCAAGATTCCTCCACTTTAATCTGACGGAAGCCACAAATTTTCTACACTAAATCACTGAACTGATGTTGTACTATAATATGCTGAGTAGAGCTAAGCTTCCTTTTTC